TACACAAACTACTGACAAATTTAACAAGCAAACAGAAGGAGAAGATGCAAATACCACAAATAAGAAATGAGAGAGGTGATGTCACAACAGAATCAATTGAACTAAAAGGGATAATAGCAAATTACTATGAAGAAGGGTGCTCTAACAAAGTTTAAATCCTAGAAGAAATGGACAAATTTCTAGAAGCACACTACTTACCTAAACTAATGCATATTGAAACCTGAAAGGTCTTGAAAGGTAAGAGCTGTGTGAATGTATCAAGATTGGCTTAAACTGCTATGTGGTAATCAAACCGTGAAGAATGTGGGTGATCTTAAAACAATTCAAAATTCAGCATTTCTCCCTTTAGATTGAGGGATCTTACACTAATTACAGTTGGACATGCAAAGATAAATCAGACCCACCTGCTGCTTTACTCACACCTGCAACAACAACTTCAGTATGAATAAGGGCCAGAGGTCAGGTGAGCCTGGGAGTCATTGCTTTGCCTGGGTGATGGTAAACAAACTAGCAGGGGTGATTACCCCACACTGGGCTTTTCAGGAGGAGAGGATTGGCTGAGGGAGAGAGCCAGAGGAAACCAAATCCGGGGCAGAAGTGACAGCTTGCTCAAAGGCTCCTTGCCTGATGAAGAACAGAATGGGGTGTTGGACACTAGAAGATGGTTGATGGAGGGAGCCCCTGGAGGTCTGGGGAGGTGGGCAGTGTGATAAAGAAGGATGTCTAGGTGTGTACAGATAGGATAGCAAAGGAAACGAAGGCCCAGTTGAGAAAATGTTTGCTGACAGTTAAAAAGTTTATGAGGAGGAAAGATATGACAAAATTTTACTTTTAAAACATGATTTTAATGTACTGATGTATGTACCAAGAAAACTTTTCCTTGGACTTACGGGATCAGAGAAAAACAGGTGTTAAGACATTTTTAAAATATCTGATCATGGGCCTAGGACTACACAGACCTCTGAGATAGTGCTGATCAAGGCTGTACGGTGGAGGGCTGAGGCTTCCCCGTGAAATTCTCCTTGGCCAGCTCTTGCTACCCACAAAGAGTGAGCAGGGGAGTTGTCATGAAAGAAAAAAAAAAAATCCCCAGTACAATTTTCCCCCGCTGGGCTTTTCCTCCCCAATATAGTTAAATTTTATTTAAATTGCTTCATAATACAGCCCCGTGTTCATTCTATGTTCTTTGAGAAAACTCTCAAATTTATCCTCTTTGGAATTCCTAAAAAGCCACTGTCCCCTTCTCATCTGATCTCTCCACCTCTCTGCCTTGAATGTAACTGAACCAGCAGGTCCTTTCAGAAGCCACGGTTTTGATTAGGGCATTTTAAAAAAAGAAATTTTAAGAAGACTAATGTATGTGTATTACTACGAAAATTTTTGCAGCCTTCCACTCATTGGTGCAGATGTGTTCAAATGTGTTTGTTTAGAAGAAATCCATACCTGTAGGGGCTAGAACCCTGTAGCAATAGTCTTTATGATCTGTGTGTGTGTGTGTGGGGGGGCAAAACTAAAATCAGAGAAAACAATTTTGTTAGTGCATGCAAAACACAATGGTTTGTGGGAAACTCATTCTTTATTTAGAGCTGCTGTGTAACTGCCAAATTATAATTGTTTTCTGTTGGATGACGCCTGCATGAAGTGAATGGCGGGGAAAGGAAGAAATGAGTTGATTCTAAAAGAGGAAAAGAAAATTCTGCTTTCCAGTGTCTTATGGAAGAAAAAAAAAATCCACGAACCACATTACAATTCTGTCCTGGGTGCTAGCGGACAAGCTGGAATGATGGAATTGGGGTTCTCCCTAGTCATCCCGGGATTAAATAATTGTATGTGACAGAATTGGTGTTAATCAATAAAAAGATAACAATCGTTTACATTACGCATTTAGTGCAATTTGAAGAATCGGCCTTAACCAAACGGAGTGTTTTGTAGAAGAATCAATACATGACCACCTTACTTAGTTAAGTGCATAAATGAAGTACAACTGAAGCTGCCACACCAATGAATATGAATGAAACAATCAAATCAATGTAAAGAATGAATTTTGGAAGCCACACAATGAGAGCAGTTTTGAACACACAATACTGTGCAAAATGCAGGATTGCAAACAGATGTTCACTTTAATTTCTACTCTCTCTTCTAGTATATATCTTATCATTTGGGAAAAGCTTTCTCATATTGCAGTTTGATTACATGTGCATTTTGCAAATTTCCAGATGTGTTCAGATCCTTTAATCTACATTATGGCTTTATATTTCAGGTCCCCATGACTCCCTAATCAAGTTCTCATTTCTTTAAACATAAAATGAAATCTTGAATTTTTCATATATCCCTTTTAGTTTGAGAGAACTATGGACACTCCCCCTCAAAATAGTTCTATTAGATATTTATGTATTGGTCTTACATCTATTCAATAGTTAATCAACTGTATTATGTTGTACTATATAATGAGTTCCTTTGGGCAAGCATTCACTTTTCTATGGAAAAAGAAAGATATTTTATAAAGTAAACCTTTTGGAGAAATGAAGTTGTGATACTTCACTCCCTCAAGTCTACACCCCAGAATGATCAATTGTGGGACTTGCATCCTGCCAGAGAAGGTGGTCTCTGTAGTGGGTTTCCATGTAATTCTCATAGAATAGTCTCATAGAAGAGTGTATCTGTAAGAATTGATCTTAATTCCAGAATCATAGGATAATCTACAGCAATGATTCCAATGCTGAATATAGATGGCAAATCTATACAGAACCTAGATATTCACCTATATACAATATAGATGAATTCAAGATATAATAATACATAGTGGAGGCAGAATTCAAAGAGATCCTGACAAATTAAACGAGAGTTTAGCCAGTAACTACTTGATTTTTTTTTTTTTACTTGATTTTTAATGAAAGCAGAGACATATGGAACCTGGAAATTGGTATTAATACAACTATGATCACAGTAATTGACTTTGAAAACTGGGCTTTATGATGATGTAAGATCTATAGTGACAGGCATTTTGGATACAATGATAACATTTGAAATGATTTTTATAGGCAATAGGATAGATAATATAATAATGCTCCAGGCTATGGTAGAAAAAAATCACAATAGTTCAGAGAGTAACAGGTACTCCAAGAAGGGGTCACATGTGGGGATAATTTAGATTATGCAAAATGAAACTACTTTAAAATTTCCGACTTGGAAAGAGTTATACACAGATGTTGATATAAGTATGGCTCACAGGGCTCAACAGTAGGATGAAAAACAATTAAAATGTAAAAGGAACTTAAATATGAGACTAGGAGGACAGGGGAGAACAGAAGCCAGTTTTGAGAAATGTCTAAGTCTCCGTTTCCTTCAGTTTGGAGGCACTGATATTGAGTGACCTCTAGCTGTCCCGAGTGCGTCAGCCTTAAAACCCAGACTCCTAACTCCTTGTTACTGCTGAGTTCGGGCAATGGCTGAGTTGGTCAGAAAAAAATAATGCTAACAAGGCCATGGTAATAGGTTCAATTTTCATATAAGAAACATTCATCTTTCTAGCACGAAAAAAGCCTGGACTGTGGCCATAGGTCTTGGCCAGCCAACTAATGAATGAACTCTTTCGTCAATCAGGTTAGTACAACCCCCAGACTATACATAGGTCAACCCAAAGGTGGGTGTAGTGTCATAGCATAATTTTTCTTGACTAGAGCATTTTCACTTTTCATACTGTTTTCACAAATTTCACTCAGGAATTTATCATCAGTTAGCAGCTGCTATTTAGGCTATCCAGACCCAGTGACCCACGTTGTTCAGAGTAGAATTATGCTCCATCAGATTTTCAATGACTGGTGTTTATGACTTAGAGCACCAGACCTTCCCTCCAAGGCACCTCTCGGTGACTGCAAACCTCTGGCTTGAGTAACTGTGCACTAAACCACTACACCACTCACGGATCCGGCCTACCTGCTTTACACAAGGTACTATGCTAAATAACTCAACAACATTAATTTTAAATTGTCTTATAAAATTTTTTCAATTTAAAAAATAAAAATGTCTGATTCCATACTAATCTGACTTCATGATCAATGGGTACTCTTCTTTTTTTAAAAAAATGATCTTATGAATTGAGGCATACATGTATTTTGTCAAGAAAAAGATATCCAACTACAGTGATAAAATGATTAAATATAACCAGGTTTCAAAAGGGTAATGAAATAAAACTCTACAAAAGCAATATAGAAACAAACTCTATATACTATGGCTTAATTGTTGATATAAGTGTTTCCTTGGAGTAAACTACTCAAAGTAATGTGCTGCTTTGAAAGAAATCTATGCTGATAAATCAAAATTAAAAGATTTAAATTCCTTATGAAACAAGCAGAAATTGCATTTATATGGATTAATGAGTTCATGACAAGTTCATACTCAAGATTTACTCATTCTTTGCTCCTTAGAAGGAAGAATAAATTCACTTTTTCATTCACTGTATAAGTTACACTTAGTTATTTTTACACTATACAAATCTTCATGGAATGATAAATTGGGCTTCGATATTGGAGATAAACTTATAACCTGTTCAAATAAAGACATTACAGTGTTCTTTCCAACCACCAGTGTCTTTCTTTTAAAAAGTAATTATACATCATATAGTCAATTGAGAAACTAGGCAATTCACTGAAAGTTAACTGATTTACTACCTCAAGTAAACAGAAAATTAAAGTCCATTTAAGAAAAATAGTTCAGAGCAAATTGCCATCCTCACTTGGACTCCCATATTGCTGCAAACAGCAACCCTTTACAAGTCAAGCCACCTACTCTGCACACTAAGGAGTCAAACCCTTTACACAATACTTGAACAGTCCAAATCAAAGGACTTTCACTCTCCTCTCATTTCTTTTAATCAGTGTTAATAAAGATATGGATTTAAATGCTGATGAGATTTGTAACAAATTCTTAGACTACACATCTGAGACATTAAGAACTTTAACTTACTTCCCTCTAGGCAAGCTACCCTGCTTTCTGCTTACCTGACAGGAGCACCTCTGCTCTGCGCTGGTTTCAACAAGACTGTCACCGTAATGTCAGTTTGATTCAGAGGTGTCTCAAGTTCATACACTGGCATAGAAGGTGCTAGGAACAAACAAACAAACAGATGATAGGAAATTCATTATTTCCACTTAATATTTTCCATTTCCTTTCTACTTTCTTTTACAGTCTGGAGGAGAAAACAATTGGACTAATGATTCCGGGGGGACATGAGAGAAGGGAAGGCGGGGGGAAAGGAGGTGGTGTTAACCAACCCAGGGACAAGGGAGCAACAAGTGATCCAAAATTAGTGGCAAGGAGGGTGTGAGAGACCTGGTAGGGAATCAACAAGGGCAATGTAACCAAAAGAAATTACTGAAACCCAAATGAAGGCTGAGCAAGATAGTGGGACAAGAGGAAAGTAAAAGGAAATAGAGGAAAGAACTAGGAGGCAAAGGGTATTCATAGACGTCTAAATACAGGCATATACATATGTAAATATATTTATATAGGATGATGGGTAAAAAAGATCTATGTGTGCATATATTTATAAATTTAGTATTAAGGTAGCAAATGGACATTGGACCTCCACTCTAGTACTTACTCAATGCAAGAACACTTTGTTCTATTAAATTGGCATTCCATGATGCACATCTTTCCGACATGATCGCTGAAAAAAATGTGTGCATAAGCAAATGTGGTGAAGAAAGCTGATGGTGCCCGGCTATCAAAAGATATAGCATCTGGGGTCTTAAAGGCTTGAAGATAAACAAGTGACCATCTAGCTCAGAAGTAGCAAAGCCCACATGGAAGAAGCACACCAGCCAGTGCAATCATGAAGTGTCGAAGGGATCAGGTATCAGGCATCAAAGAACAAAAAATCATATCATTGTAAATGAGGGTGAGTGCAGAGTGGAGACCCCAAGCCCATCTGTAGGCAACTGGACACCCCCTTACAGAAGGGTCGTGGGGAGGAGATGAGCCTGTCAGGGTGCAGGGTAGCAATGATGAAACATACAATTTTCCTCTAATTCTTAAATGCTTCCTCCCCCCACTATCATGATCCCAATTCTACCTTACAAATTTGGCTACACCAGAGGATGTACATTGGCACAGATAGGAACTTGAAACACAGGGAATACAGGACAGATGATCCTTTCATCTGTCAGTGGTGAGAGTGGTGATACCTGGAGGGTGGAGGGAAGGTGGGGTAGAAATGGGGAACCGATTACAAGGATCTACATATAACCTCCTTCCTGGGGGATAGATAACAGAAAAGTGGGTGGAGAGAGACGTTGGACACTGTAAGATATGACAAAATAATAATTTATAAATTATCAAGGATTCATGAGGGTGGGGGAAATGGGGAGGGAGGGGGGAAATGAGCAGCTGATATCAAGAGCTCAAGTAGAAAGAAAATGTTTTGAGAATGATGATGGCAACAAATGTACAAATGTGCTTGACACAATGGATGTATGTATGGATTGCGATAAGAATTGTACAATCCCCCAATAAAATGATTTTAAAAGAAAAAAAAGAAGAACATAGAGTAAGCATTAAGTTCAAAATGAAGTCAAATGGATCTTGGCTGAAAGCAGAGAATACCAGATAGATGTTTATTTGTGTTTCATTGACTATGAAACTGCACTTGACTGAGGGGATTACAACAAACTATAGATGGTTTTGAGAAATATGAGATCCCTGAACATTTCATTGTGCTCACGTGGAACCTGTACATAGACCAAGAGACAGCTGTTTGAACAGAACAAGAGGGTGCTTGAGATCAGGAGAGGTGTGTAACAGAGCTGTATCCTCTCATCATACTTCCTCAATCTGTATGTTGAGAAAATAACCAAAGAAAGTGAATTATGCTAAAAATGCTGTATAAAGACTGGAGGAAGGTTTATTAACAACCTTCTATAAGCACACTAACACAACATTGTTTGCTGAAAGTGAGGAAGACTTGAAGCACTTGCTGATGAAGATCAAGGATTGCAGCCTTCAAAACAGATTATAACCCAAAGTCAAGAAGTCCCAAATCCTCACAAATGGACCAATAAATGACATCACAATAAGTGGAGAGATGATTGAAGTGGCAAAGGATCTAATTGTGCTTGGATCCACAATCAATGTTCATGGAAGTAGCAGTCAAGAGATCGGAAGATGAGTTACATTGGGTGAATCAGCTGCACAGGACCTCTTTAGAGTACTGAAAAGTAAGGATTTTACTTTGAGGACTAAGGTATACTTGACCCACACCATGGTATTTTCAGTTGCCTCGCATGCATGTGAAAGTCAGACATGAAATAAGAACTAATGCATTTAAATTATAGTACTGGAGAAGAATATTGAAAGTCCCATGGACTGCTGATAAGACAAATCAATCTCTCTTGGACATCTTGGAAGGTGTGCCACCAGGATGCTCCTTAAAGGCAAGGAAGACAAGACCTCATCTTACATACTTTGCACCTGTTGTCAAGAGAGTTCAGTTTCTGGAGAAGGACATCATATTTGGTAAAATAAAGGGGCCGTAGAAAGGAGGAAAGCCCTCAGAGAGATGGAGTGATGAGATCTGCAACGATGGCCGTAAGCATGAGGACAGTTGTGAAGATGGAGCAGCGGGACGGGGCAGTGTTGGTGCAGCGGGATGCTGAGTCAAGGCCGACTCGATGGACACTAACAACACCAGTTTAAATTGCAGTTATCATCTAACCAGACCATGAGAAAGCTTTAGGAATAACCTTTACAGAGAATGTGAAGGAAGACTGTTAATGGATTAAGTGAACCTCAATGACCTTGAGTTTAAATTGGGAAAGAACAAGGACAGGTTATGAAGTGTCTAGTAATACTCTTGTTTCTTGATTGGGTTCCGGCTAAAGGCATGCCATGAACATTCATTGATTAAAATGTACTGTACATGTTGTTGCATAAAATGCTTACATTTTTATTACACTGAGTGTGATGCATATTTAAAAAACAATCTCTAGGACAATAAAACTTCTATATAAGAAAAGGCTCTTGATTTACTAAAGATCTTCACTGCGAGAGTCAGAGTGACTTGCTGGAATTGGAGTTTGTGAAAATTCATAGGTGCCCTGGTGTCATAGTGGTTATGAATTGGTCTCTGATCCACAAGTTCTGCGGTATGAAACTACCAGTTGCTCTGTAAGAGAAAGATGGGGCTATCGGTTTGCTAAAGAGCTCCAGGCTCAGACACTCACAGAAGCAGCTTTACCCTGTCTTACAGGGTCACTAGCAGTCAGCCTGGACTTGATGGCATTGAGGTGTTTTTTTTAAGTCTGTCAATATGGAATAGAGCATTGAAGAGGACACAGGTATTAAGGTCAATTGCCTTAACTCTGATTTAACAACAACCAAAAACCTACCAAAAATAATATAATTATTCTTTATAAGTTGGCATAAGCTAAATAAAATGTCAAATATCTTAGCTTTTTGATAAAACGATACTGTTAACTTGCTATTGCCATATTGATCAGAATTTTCATCCAATATAAATGATAAAACAGTTATCTTAATAAAATAATATACCTTTTTAAGGTAAAGATAAAAATTCTTGAACTATGAGTTAGATCCCAAGAGAAATTTCAAAAAATAAAACATGTTTAAAGTTTTAATTATTGGCACACATTTGTTTTTTAAATCCTCAGCCAAATTCAAACACTGGTCTCATGGTCTCATGGTTTGCAACCAGTGTAAATTCAGAGAGGGAGTACATTAAAAAACATAACAAAAGGAAAAAATAGAAAGGAAAAAAATAATAAAAAGAAATGAGTAGCTAGGGCACAGGGCACTACCCCACCAAGCGGAGGGTATTGTTTATATCTCCACTGGGAAAAATGGACCAGACTTCAACCCAGTGGAGTAGGGAACCAGTGGAGAGGTCTGGGGAGGTCGGCCCCAATCCCAACTACTAAATGGACACCTGCCCCTCCCCCCAGAAGAATTTATTTCAAAGTACGGCATTGAATCTGCAGCTCTGGAGAGGGACATATGTGATCTTAGCACATGGGAGCAGATGAAGGGGGAGGAGGAGAAAGTGGAGCACATTCTGGCCCACCAGGCCTTGAGGACGATGTTCCCAATTAGAGGAGCCAGTCCACAGAGAGAACCACATAACTGGCCCCATTATGAGACATGACTCCCCTCACTGGCCCATAGCCCTACAGGGGACAACACCTGAGACACAGTGTGGGAATTGTGCCCAATCTGATCCCGCCACACAGAGGCAAAACACTAAGGGTGTGCAACAGAACAGCAAGGGAACGGAGCGGGGAGGTCCCCAGG